CGCTACCTGACTGGGAAGTCCTGACAAGCGGGTCAATCGATCGTCACAACCAGGACAGTTACTGGGTCGTCGTATCGATGATGTGTCGGGCATACTAATCACATCGCTCAAGTGCGAACATGTTCGCCCGTTCAGACGTGAGAACTCAGATGCGCTGGTGGAATAGTGGTAACACGTTCGCCTCGCATGTCAGGTGTCCGGAGTTCAAACCCCGGCACGGCCATTGGATATGCACTGCTGATGAGCTCTAACAAGAGCGAAACTCGAGTCCAGTGCTTCCCTCCCCCCTTTAGTGTGGATTCACATGAATAATTGCACCAGGACAGGAGGACGACTGTTCAAAACGAGAGTTATGTGAAACTGAACAATACACCTCCAGCAAAAAAACCCGCATGCATTAACATAGAGAAGTTGGAGGACCATGTGAGGCCACTATTCCAGTGGTACACGCTGGATGCATCTGTATGATCAGGTCAAAATTGGTGTACCCGTCTACGCTTGGTTGACTTGACTGTTTCGCCATTGAATAAAGCAGTATAGCAAGCCACATCGTGTGCTGAGCAATAGTCATCCTCATACATGAAGTATATAAAGGTTATCCTACGTACATCAAAGTGGGTCGTTTAAATATCTTTCTTTTTTGGCATACGCACAACACCCGCTGACTATCTCATTTGTGCACGTCGTATTATTGGATGACACAAAAGGCCAGTTCGTCGGATTTTGTAGACTTTGGGTTCTTTCAAAATTGTATGACCTTGAAAGAGGGATCCAAAACTGTTTTGTAACTACTTTTGATGGAAAAAGGCTTAAAAAGAATGACACACTGTCATTTTAATGGAGCAGATGGGTACCAGCCAACCTGTTCACTTGTAGGTGGATCAGTCCTAAAAGTACGACAATCTATGCTGATATCCGCGTGAGTTTCTTGACTGCGTACACTGAAAGTGGTATTTCGACCGCGCTGTGTTCCTTAGAAAACCAGGATGAAGATGTTGTGCAGGCATTAACTATCAGAGATGACGGGAGACATTCAGAGAGTCAGAGTCAACTATCCCCCATTTAACGTCCAGGAAATAACCAATGATAATTGCAGTTACGGTAATTAACTATAACGCAAAATGCTTCTGCTAAGCTTCGGACAAGTGTGTCGCTCTAATCCAACTGGAGCAAAACAGCTGGAGTATTTAGTCCGTTTTCAATAGGTACTGCGACACTGATACGGTCGTTTTAAAGTTGTGTCGAAAGACATTCATTCGCCCAGTATGACTTCCGCCATTTTCGGTGTGTAACAGATTCATTCTGCTAATCAACCTCTCAAGAACAAACAGTGTGCGAACCAATCAAACCAGATGTCGCGAGTTCGATTTCCCCCGTAGAAGTCAGCACTACTCGAATTTATTTTTTCAAAGAATAGACAGCTCTCAAGGGTTTTACAACCTTTCAGATGAAACCTTGATTGAGTATCCCAAGTCTCCTTATTTAGGGAAAAGACTGTCACTTTATGGACGATTCATACTACTTATGAGGTCGCTGATAACTCCACATCCCATCAGCGCATTCATCAACTGGAGGTAATCACCGAGTTACCGCCAAAATCACCAGTAAACTGTGCATCGAATCTGTGATAAAGAGTGGATCATAGGATACTCTTGTTTACGGTACTCCTCAGATGGATGTGCCCAAATTCCATCTAACGAATGAGTGTATTACTCGAGTTGCAAATAAACAGATGTTCGGTCCGGGCATAAAGTCAACGGCAATTTGAGATTTCGTTTAATCGCTAAGACCCAAGTATGGGGAAGGCCACAGTGGGGGCGGGTTAAAGAGTTTCCACCAACTTTGTGAGTAGTATTTTATGTCGGGAGACCATAGTGCGATATCTCGAGCATCGTGTCAACTGGAAAACAAGCCGACTTTTTTCGTCATGCATGAAGCCAAAAGTGTCACAAAAGAAGGCTTCACTTTGGTCTCCCGAAATCATCAATATTAGATGTAAATACACCTGTTTCAGGAATTTTTTCATTTTCTGATGATTTCGCGTTTTAATTTTTTTCTCCGGAGCTGGACGTAAGAGCGACAAGTGGTTACAGGCGTTGGTAGCTCGAATTCATCCCCTTCCTCCGATGTCAGCACACTTCTGAGAAGAAAAACAGTTTAGCCGATGTTGGCATTATCCCTATTTCTTTCTTACAGATTGGTCAATCGTAAAAGAGCTCAGTTTTACCGAGAATCACCCTTTGACTTATTTGTGATTCACAAAGCTTATGAGCAGAGCATTTTGAGCCCGAGGTGTGAACTAGGTCCGTGATTCGAACCCATGCCTGGTCTCTCGACACATTCTGTCTATGTTTGGGCGACGTGTCCGTATACCAACCTTCGTGCTTCCTCGGGTATCAGAGCAGCTAAAAAGTAAGCGTTACAGCTGAACGATTAGTAGTCTTGTGTGTAAGTCCTATGATCCAATACCGATTTCTAGGAGGAAAAGACTTCCAGGTTTATCAAATCACCAAAAAAGAAACGTTTCTGTGTGTATCCTTGCTTCCTGTTACTAATAATACTCACCGCCGACTCTTGCAGTCAGCCCTTTAGAAGTATGAACATTTGCAAAAAGTCGATCCAGCGCCCGCTCTTGTCGACTAATTTAAAAATTTCAAGTCATTCGACAGATCTTGTTGCAGATGTTCCAAAAAGATATATGAAAAAACCGCTGTAACTAAAATTAAGCTAATGTAATATGATCGATACTGTCGCTTTTTGGCACTTTAAGTGGACGTCCAAACCCATTTCGTGTTGGCTGGCACCACACGGAACATTTCAGTGGGTAGATCTTGACGTCGTTATTTCACGTCATCCCCACACTTTATATAAATGGATTTCGGCGGAATGGAAGACGATCAAACAAAAATTCCTCTTTGGTTAGGAAACTGTTTTTTAAAGCGTAGCAAAAAACCAAAGATTTATACAGCTAGTAGAGCTAAGCCTTACCAACCTGTGGCGGATACAAGGTGATTTTTTAGGAGGACGTCATAGTATAATACGATGCGACAATAGACCACTCAGATGTTTTTTAAAAGCAGTCATCTCATCAATAACGCTGCTGACTTCGACTAGCAACCATATCGTGCACGTCGCCAACATGAATTGTTGTGATCACGTGAGTCGTGCTCTTGTGAACAAATCACATCGGTAATTACGATACCTTTCTTCAATCTGTCTCACCCTTCTAGTAGGTCAAAGGTTGACCACCTGTACACATACGTCACAGCACGAAAGACAGCGCTCTTTTTGGCCAACAGTCATTCGACATGCTCAATGAGTGAAGTCATATGTACTGGACATATTCTTCGTTTGAAAACTCTTTTGCATAACCAAACACACGTTTATCTTAACCATATCATCTCGAGTTTGTCGAAAATTACCTACACTAGTTAAGGTTAAGAGACGATATCTCTGAAGATTTCTCATTTCCGCTGTCCGTAGAGGCCACATCTAACATCAGTTTAACAAAACATTCTGCACGGAAGACTGATAGTCTGAACTTTATAGCTCACCCATTGCAAATTGGAACGCGTGGATCGCGCAGAATCACTTATTTATGACATGAAGTTGGCTTCCGCGTCAAAGGTTTAACAGAAAAATACAAACTTCCACGGTGCTGAATCTTGAGAAACGAACCCTGTGGAATCAAACAAAGAGAAGCAACTTGGTTGAGAAACGCTAAAATGCCACTGTAGTACTGCGAACCGAAATCCAGCAATACTTCAAGCTCACGCATCAAACGTGGCCTTTTAGAATCCAACGAATAAGGGAGGATCTTTCGTCAAGGATGCTAAAACATAGCAAGGTGGAATGTAGCACCAAACAAAGTGAAAAAAACCGGCTGCCGAAGGGTCTTTCAAACAAACAGGCTATTACAAGAGCTACGGACGCCTCGGGTATCCGCTGAAAATGCATCAAAACTGTAGATTTCCCCTATTTTCCTGAGCCCATGTCAGCCAAAATAACTATATATATATATAGTCTGTCAGACTGGCGTAAAAGAAGATAACTACTTATCGGCTTTCATAGATGAAACGACTCACGAGGTTACTGAAAACCCTTCGACAGCCCACGACTGGCTTCCTCCTTCTTGGGGCTCATCATGTAGGCGCAGTCTCAGAGTTTCTGTCAACCTTATGATCTACTTGAACTCGATTACTACTTATCTATCTGTTGAAGGAGCCTGGGCAATGAACGATACATATTTCTCCCTGTCAGAATATTGGCGATGTTACCTGATTGAGAGACGAAAAGTTATTTACCTCACCAAAACTCTAGGATGTCTAAGTTCCATTAAATATTACCAAGGACTCCCTCCACTTTTTGCATTACATTTTGACAAAATCTCCTAGTGGAACTTGCAGATTATGGCAATTCTAGACAAAGCACGGAAGACGAACGTTCGCTAGGAGCATGTCTGTGAACCTGAATCGACGAGTTAAAACAAACACGAAATGGTCCAAGCTTGAAACATGCTTGCAAACTGTTCCCGTGCACTCATTGCACATACTAATGGAAACCAGATTTTTTGAACTTTTAGGCTAACCTTTTTTGTGATTCAATTGCTTGAGCACAAAACACATTACGGGCAGTAACTAATGCTCTTCGACCTAGCTGATGAAAAGCTTTCGTCCTGCTTGATTCATACTTCCAGATGTGCTCCGAATTTCCAATATTTCCCTTGCTCCTAACAAGTTTTCGTCTCAGAATTCACTTGTTAATGCGAAGTTAACATTCGATAACAAGAAACAACGACAGTATGCAAGAAGCACGCGTGGTCTCAGAATTTTAGTAGAGAAACACGTTCGGTTTTTTCGGTAGTGGGAGTGGGCGGGAAACGTGAAATGGAACTAAGAACCGGTCAACACAAAATTCATCCTACACCCCATTTTGATTTTTGAAATATCACCAACCAGCAGCCTGCTAAGCAGAAATGACCTTCTCACCTGATATTACACAGCTCGCTTCCTTCTATAGCCCAGAGCTCTTGAAATTGTGGCAATGAATCCAAGGACGATAGCAAGGATACTGTAGGTGATGAGTAGTGAGATACCGGCATGCATTCCAATGTTGAACGGGTTCTGGTCGTAGAATATGTACTTTTCCGGGTTTTTTAATCCTTCTTCCAAGGTGACCATCCGCACAGATTGAAGCAGAATTGAAAACACAATCGAAACAAATAGGACCATTCTTGGACAATCTGCAACTGAACCTTCGTACACGGACAGGTGAATATATAGATTGTCTGGACTTGCGATCGGCCAATCAGATTGCAGCGGTCGTTTTCATTGATTGGCCCGTACACTCAAGCGCCGAAGCTGCAGTCTCATAATTGTCGGTCAGCGACCCCACCACGCGAACTCCTATATTCACTGGAATTTCAAGCAAGCATAAAAATTGACTTTCGCAAATGCGAATGGTCAACCACATTAATTCATCATATATCAGGTGAAGTCGGCCGATAGTCTGGCCACAATTGCATGTACACGCTGGTCTAAATGACCTTTGAATTTATCGTATTCTTCCTCGTACAAGGTAGATTTTCTGGTTCACACTTGAGTTACCATTAACAAATGGCTGTAACTGAGGCAGTGAAGGATACCAGTGTAATGTTTGCTTTCTAACACGATCCAGTGATTGGCTAAAACCCTCCTGTAACACATGGAGGTGTTAACGCAGATTCGCATTTTTCTCAACTTTTCTGTATGCCCTCGCCTAACGTTGCAATGGTCGCCGCTACGGGCGCGCAAACTTTGCTGAATTAATTTTGTGGAAAAGCTTAAATTTCCACTCAGTATTTGACCATTTTGTTTAAGCGAGTCGATAAATTTGACAGGATAAACTCTGTGTGTAGATCAGGAAGATCATGGTTGTGTAACAGTTCATATTTTCCGGATAAATGTTTCAACCAACATGGCTTTATTGGTAGACAGTTTGTAATTTGACCCATTTTTGTAAGTGTGGAAGGCGCACGCGATTACGGTGAAACAACTACAGTGATGTATGAGAAATTCCGTAGGGAGCGACTGCCAACCAAAACGGTTTTTCGAAGAAACGCCTATTTTCCCACAGGCGATTGGTATTGATTAGTTTCCGAGTAGAGTACCCGGCGTGTTTATGACATATGTCCCAAGTGCCACACTAGAAGGTGTCCGTTGATTCAATTCAAGATATACTTGAATTCCTATGACAACGTCACCACAGATATTAGAGGAAAATGATAAGTTATTTAACAAATACAGTTTGAAGTTCTAGGGGGCTCTCAGTTGTTTCTCCGTTAGCGGTCGGCGATATTACCGAGTAGCTTCAGGAAGGTTTTCTTCGCTACTCTGCTTCATGTTTGAATATATCAATCGAATGAGATAGGTACTTTAAACGAGAGAACGCATTATCAGTCCTCTAGATTACGGGATCTTGCACGGGCAAAATGTGTTTTGAAAGCGCGCTTACATTAGTATCAAGAAAAGAAGCAATACAAATGCGATCTCTTGGTCGTATAGATGTGATGCGGCAAAGCGTTCGATCAATAATCCTTACTTTTAACAAGGTATTGAGTTCGTCGCATACCAACTGTTTAGTGTTCTATTGAGCCAGATTTGTTCAACCAGCTGGCTGTAGGTGGCTGCCTGAATTCAAGATTAACTCACTCTGTTTTGAGCCGTTCTCAGGCTGTTCTGGTGCTCCAGAAAGGACGAAACTAGTGTCCGATACTTCTCTACAAAGAGCTACGTGACTTCTGTACCGGGGGCCCTTTTGTTTAGCTTCATTTGGGTATGATCTCCGCTTATTTTTTGCTCGGAGACAATATTTCTGATCGGGCGATAACTGGAGCGCACTGTATTAGAACGAAAACAACCGACGCTGATCCATTCTACACTGAATAAATTCCGTCTGTGCAGTCGAGCCTGTATGATCAAAGTTTATTCGTGGCCGCCAAATGGGGGCATTTTAGACACCATTCGATAAAGCTGTTAAAATGTCTTATTCACCTCCATGGCTGTTTAAAACACCTTTCTGGGCGGGGTGTGTGCGGCCCCGTTGTCGATAAGTTTTCCACTGATTGTTCCAAAATCAGAAAGCTTGAAGCACCTTAGTGCTGCACACTTGGCGAGAGAAGTATAAAGGAATGAGGCTGAGTCAATTTTCAAGAATGACATACTAAACGCAACAAGAGGAAGTTGGCAACTAATCGATTTACGCACTCTAGGGAATAACGATCGCATAAATCAGAGTCTGGGAGACAAAATCGTGAACCTCAAGTGGGACATGACAGGAGGCACGATTTAATCTAAAAAAGATACCAACTTAGTAGTACGAAACAACTATTCCACATTCTACGGCACCTTGGTGAGTTTATTCAAATAGGCAAATACGTGAAACACTGGTACATGGTTCCTTGAATCTTGCAGAGTCAATTTAATTGACCCGTAGAAGGATAAAGAGTAATTGAACGGAGCACATTCGAGTACAACTGATCAAACTAGATCACAGTGTAAAAAAATCGACAAGGAAAATCACTTTACGGTTAAAATAACATGGCGTTAATCTTTCATGAAGGAAAATACTCACAAGGTTGCTGAAAACTCTTCGACAGCCCACGAACGGTTTCGCCCTTGTTGGGGCTCATCAGGTAGGCGCAGTCCCCGAATTTCCATCGAATTTATGTTCTACTTGAANACTGTCACACGCATGCATGGTTTGTAGCACCACGGTACCGCCGGGAGCCTATTAACCCACGAAGACTTCCTACTGTAATGCATTAAGCACATTATCTCGAATATCGTACGAACTGAAACATGAGGCGGCCTGTGTGCAGCACATTCAGTTGTAGAACATCATAAACGAAAGATTCAGTTGAGTCCCTTGTGAAAACGAAATGGCGTTGAGCTGTTTTGTCTGTAAATCTACACCATCCATCAAATAGATAAACACCTAGCTCCACAAGTGTGAGCCTGGTGTCACCAAAGCAACTAACCGTTTTTTGTGTCTTCCGAGTAACGCTGTATTTCGGTATTATTCACCTGCAATTTCAACTAAAACAAAAAACAATCCCAAATAGAACCGGCCTCATTGAAAGTGCCAATTGAACTCGTTCGTCCAGTGTCGCATGCACAACCTCGTAATCACCGTTATGTAGCGTTCATTTCCTTGAATATTACTCAACTAGGACGGAAAAAATCAATCAATAATCATTCAAAATCCTGCTACATATAAGCAGTGATTCCCGTTGCGTTTCCCAGCCAAGTGTTGGCTTATATCAAACAACGAATCCTCAGAGTTTTAATTATTTCCAAGATTTCTCTCCGAACGCGCAGACAAAAATTGTCGTCACATGTCTGTAAGAAAGACAATTTACTCTCAGAGAACTTTTTGGGAGGATGGAAGCGAGAAATGGTAAAACGGTTGTCCAAGTTAACACGGGCGAATTCCAGAGGAATTACGTCAGGCAAATTCGCCATGAATAAATGAAACAAAAACTCCGAAACGTATATCTATCGACGGAGGAACAACACTGAGGTTCTTTTTCCATGATTAAATTCACCGAAAATCAGCAACGCATTCGAAAAACTTCTGTACTGACCAGTTCGAACATGAACTACGAGACATCAACGTCAGCAATCTGACAGTGTCACTTCGATTGGCGACGAAACGTTTGCAATTCAGATGCCAAACCAAGCGAACAAGTCAACAACGCCGCAAAACTACTCGTATTCCGTAACGTTCTCACACTCGTCCGACACACCGAATCGCGCCGACACACACCAACTGTGAGTGAGGAAATTACAGAAAACTGTATGCAAACTGCAAGCGCAAATTTCGCGAGATTACGTCACAACAGGATGTAAATGAAAACATTGCTGATAAAAAAATTAATGTCGAATAATTTTCCTCACCTGTGTGTCACGCGTTCTACACAAAGTTCTGCGGCACCCGCTCAACGTAGCCTGGAATCTCATGTAAAACGCCGCACAACTGTGCTTAATTCAAACTAACCAAGACACTTGTTCTGCGACATCGAGAACTAGTAAAACTTGCCTGTTGCCTGTGTTCTGTAACAGTTCCATAGTTTCATAAATGAAACTACTCACAAGGTTGCTGAAAAGTCTTCGACAGGCCACGACCGGTTACGCCCTTCTTGGGGCTCATCAGGTAGGCGTAGTCCCCGAGTTTCTGTCAACCTTATGATCTACTTGAACCCAAATTGCACTGTGTTCGAGAACTACACTCATTTGCGAATCAACTTGGTTTTCACGGGAGACTCAATTGAATCTCTCGTTTATGATGTCCTCCAGCTGAATGTGCTGTACACACACCGCCTCGTGATTCATTTGGCACATAGCGTTCTCCAAACTATTGTTAAATGAGCCCCATAGGAGAAAAGTACCGGCAGACGTCAAAATTTCTCGTAATCTTACTCGCCAATAGTCAACCTTGTGCCTTGTCTGGAAAGGCAACCGTTAGTAAGGTTATGAGTCAAACGATCGACCGACGGTTAGATAAAGTCACGTAACTGAAACCATGGAAGCCAGGTGTTCCACTGCACTCGGGTGTACACACCCTTCTAGCTGGTGAATTCTGATGAGCAAGGTCACAGTGATTGACAGTGATTTTAGGTTTCTGCTGCATAGCACTACAAGAGTAGAGTATGCCGAATGTTTGTGCTGACGTATTCGCATCAGAAGCTGACTGCTAACTGTGTCTGGATCACGATTTGACCCAGAACGTTTCGGACAGAAAGCTGATTAGATGGCAACACTCAGAGTTTTACTGGATCACACAGTACCACTGAACGTCAAAGGCTGTGGCTCAGAAGGTTGAGTAGATACCGTTAAAAGGCAGCCCCGTAGCCAACGGTTCGAGGCACGAAGTTAACTTGGTCCATGACCTGTTTTTTGAGTCAGCTCTTCTACTGCTCTGAAGATGTATTTTCGGGGTGTATGGTCTGAACCTGCAATTTCAAAAGAACTGCTGGAGAACACTGGCGGTAGCAAATATGATGGGATGTCGCAGAACAAAACTGTCTTGAACTAAGCGCAGTTGTGCGGCTTTTTACACCAGATTCCAAGCTATGTTGAGTGTGTACCGCAGAGCCTTGTGTAGAACGTGTGACAAACGGATAGGGAAAATTATTCGACATTAATTTTTCATCAGCAACGTTTTTATTCACATCCAGCTGTGACGTGATCTC